AATAAATGGAATTTTCAATAGTTTCTTGATAAATGGCCTATTTAATATTTTGCATAATTGTTCTCTGTTAATGTTTTTGGGCTTGATATAATTGAAGCCTAGATAAACCCAACTCTTTGCAATAATTCCTTGTTTTTCATAACCCTAGCCCAAGAAAGCATTTGGCTGGGACAACCAATAGGTGCTATGGCTTAAGGGTGCTCGCGGATCGGTTTTATGCAGTTTATAGTTTGGCTTTGACCCGCCCGTACCTCTGCGATTTGGAAAAAAGTCAACCCCCCAACACATTTGGAATAGTTTATCAACTTGTAGCTATGTATGCTTACTTTGATATCATTTGGGAATTCAACTTTAGGGCTTAAAAAGCCAACCACCCAACAAACACACACAAAAAATAAATAAATAAAAAAATAAAATAAAAAAACCACCAATATATATATATATATACACCTTGACTATTCACTTTTTTTTTCGTGAAATTAAAAAATTTGTTATCAAACATTTTAACATTTTTCATATCTCATAATATTCACCTAATTACTCTCTGTGGTTCTAAAAATTACATTATATCCCCTAAGGTTTTTAATTTCATAACAAATAGGTCATTTTGTTAATAAATCATCAAGTTAATTAACAGTTTTTAATAATGTTAAAATTTTATTTCAATTAATAATTCAAATAATTTTATTATTATATAGGTGAATAATTAGAAATTTCACTTTTTCAATTAATTCTGTTAAATAAAAAAATTTGACAGGGAGGTATTTGTAAATTTTCAAACCACAGGGAACAATTCATATTTTAAGTAAAGCTCAAGAGGTATATTTGTAATTTATCCTAAAATCTAAGACAAACTCAATGCTGATGGTGCTGCTAAGGATAATTTTGGTTTAGCCAGTAGTGGTGGTGTCATTTGTGATTAGATGGGTTGCAGGTTTTGCTCGTAATATCGGCATAGCTTTGGCTATAGAGGCAAAGTTTTGGGCCCTTAGAGATGGTTTGAAGCTAGCTATGGACTTGGGATTGTCTAGAATGTGTGTGGAGTCGAATGCGAAGGCTGTGATCAACTTAGTCATGCACAAACCTTCTTCATGTCATCACTTTAGTAACCTTATATGTGATTGCAGGAACCTGCAGCTTGGGATCATGACAATTAATCACATCTATCAAAAAGCCAAGAACTGCACAGACGCTCTGGCTAACCATGGCAGTCAGGCCTTAGTAGGATTGTTGGAAAAAATTGGTTTTATAAGGTTTATTTTGGGCCAACTTTGAGCCCAAAATTGAGTGGGCTCCAAATGTCTTTTGGGGTGGGTCCGAAGAGGTGATGTATTCCTTACAGCGTGACAAGTTACATGGTGAAGACGGTTCTTCAAAACCATTTATGAGTGAATGGGAACTTGACGTCGTTTTCGAGTTCGTGGAATTGCACATTTAAAGGATTAAATGTGAGTTTCCTTGAAATGGGTTGTCCCACATTGAAACTTTAAGAGAGCTTGTGTATGTATATAAGTTGTAGAGTATAATACTTGGGTTGGGCCCCAAAGGGCACCCCAAGTTTGTAGAAGGGAGGAGTTATAGACAAATGGAACCTTAGCTCAAACCACCACACACGCATGTATGCGCCGCCGCCGCCGTTTGTCCGAGCTGTGCCAGGTGTGGGTCGGTCAGTTCTAATATTAATTTTTTGGAGAAAATTATTTAAACTTTTTCCAAAAATTCTTAACAAAATTCATTCATTTTGAATTTATTTTTTCTGTCCATTTGTTACTTTCTCCAGTCCAATTTTCCAAACAGTCTAAACAGTTTCGAATCTGTTGAAACCCGAACAATTATAAAACTAGCAGTTACCAATAGATAGAAACTGCTGCTGTTAACAGATTTGAATATGTTCAGTTCAAACAGATCAAACTGTCCAACAGATCTGTTGAAATTCAAACAGTACTTGTTCATTTCAAAACCACACCTGTTCAGTTTGAATATCAAACCTGTTCAGTCCTATATATACCAGATCTGTTCCAGCATTTCTTTCAATTCGAAAATTGACTGAAAATTACATTTTGCTATCCTATTTTTCTCCTTTGCATTATTTATTCTTCATTCTAGTTTTAGAGAAAATTAAAAAGAGTATAGAACACAAGATTCTAGTTCGCCGGACAAATTTGTTTGGAGTGCTACTACAAATTTGTGAAGATCATTGTATCTTGGGAGATAGACGCCACTTAACCATAAACACCATAGCAGGGCAAATCTATCTTAAGGACAGAGTGTTACACACTCGACTTGATCTTTTATTTTTCATTCGGTTCGATAAAATAAATTCTATAAATTATTTATTTCTAGTTATTCATTGTACACAAAAAATTATTCCAACAAGAATTTCATGTTTTTGCTTCTGCTCCCTCTTTTTTAGCTAAACATTTGTATGATGATGGACGAGGGGCTATATAACCCAAACTTGTAACTTCGATAACTCCTTAATTTATTTTAGTTCTATGTTTATTTTAAAAATTAAAAAATAATAATTAAAAAAAAACAACTTTTTACACCATTTTTTATGTTACAAAGACCTGACAAGGTGTTGATGATCATGGGCAATGCTTGCTATGGGGCATGCCTTCCGATGCTCAGATTCGTACAATTTGAAGTTATATTAAACGCAATGGATAAGACCCTGTCTAATCAAGATTCCCCTGACGATAGAAACATTCCAAATTAAGAAGAAAAAATATGAGTTCGGATCCTCTCCTTGAGGCCCATTCTCCATTCCCTCCTTGCAACGGCTGAGATTAAAAAAAAAAATTGAAATTTTCGTTGATCTCCCACCCAAACAAAAACACGGTTTATACATTCATTTGAGGCCCCTCCTCTATTCCCTCCTTGCAACGGCTCAGATGAGCCGTTGCACATCCAACGGCTAAGATTAAAAATAAAATAAAAAAAATTGAAATTTTCGTCGATCTCCCGTCCAAACAAAAACACGGTTTATACATTCACTTGAGGCCCCTCCTCTATTCCCTCAACGGCTGAGATTAAAAATAAATTAAAAAAAATTGAAATTTTTGTTGATCTCCCGCCCAAACAAAAACACGGTTTATACATTCACTCTCACTCTCTCACTTTCACTCAGACTCACAGTCGATCGTGGTCGTCCATCGAACCCACCCTCACCGGCGAACCGGCAACCAGTCCCGACGGCGACCCAGATGGTGACCCCACGACGACTATAACTCCACCGCTTTAGCCTTTACACTTCGTGAACTCCACCACGACGACCACCATCGGTTGAGCATAGATCTCTTCTTCACGAACCAGGTTGGTCTTCGAACGTCTGAAATTAAGAAGTTATATGTCTGAAAAAATGTAGGGCTTTTAGAGTTGGAATTTCTGAAAAAATTTAGGGCTTTTAGATTTGGAATTTCAAAATTAGGGCTTTGATTTGGGATTTTGAAACGTCTGAAAAAATTTAGGGCTTTTATATTTGGAATTTCAAAATTAGGGCTTTGATTTGGGATTCCAACGGCTACAAATTTAGGGCTTTGATTTGGGTTTCCTCTTCTTCTTCTTCTTCTTCTTTTTTCCATCTCTGTCCATATGTTAGTACTTCTGTAATTTTCTGCCTTAAATTGCCTAAATACAAGCTATTAACAAGCCATTAACATTAATATCAGTAGCTGTAGTTGTAGGATAAATAAATTTTAATGGCTTCTATTAATAAATCAATTTTAACAGGCCCCATAAAAAACATTTTAATGGCTTGAATTCAACTGCAATAAAACATAATCAATTTCAGTAAGTCTAATTATGCAGAAACCAAATGTTGGCTAACACTTCTTAAAGGTAGAAATCATGGATAACATGGATAAGTTAATCCGAAAGGACCACGAACCCCCTGTAAAGTAAGTTTCTTGCTATTGTTTTGCAATTGGGATTTGATTTTTCTTGACATAAGAAGGACAACTCTCATTTTGTATGTGCTTTTTTTTTCCGCCTTTTATTGTATTTGAACCAATCACTTGAGAATATTGATAGCTAGTTGTAATACTCTTATACAGAGCATGAATTGAGTGTATATTTCTGGAAATATACTCGAGGGGAATTTACTTATCAATATGTACGCATGTACTCAAGGGAAATTTCTAGCAAAAGCTTTATGATGCATGATTGGAACTTCTTAGATGGTGTATTGTATGCATATATGATAGTTGTGAACCTTAATATTTTATTTCTGTATTCTTGCCAATAAAAAAGAGGCTTAAACTTCATAACTTTGAAGCATGCATAGCATTTGGAGGTTCCAATGCTTAGCCCATATTCCACATGCTTCCTTTTTTTCTGTAAAATGTCTAATTGGGCTATAACATATGGTTGTTGAGATAGTAATTAGATGGGGAGTTGTGTTAGTAAGATAATTGTAAGGGAGGGTTCAATTAAATATCGATATTGGAGTTAGGGGTTAGTGGACAGAGGTTTAAAGTTGGTGAGGAACTGTTACTGTACAAACATAAAAACAACCCTGAAACCCTTTATAAAAAGCAATGTTTTAGGCTGTAAAACAGTGATTAATAATTTCTGAATGCCAGTATAGACCTTCAACATTCAAAGAATTAAAAATAATAAAAATTGAAAAAAAAGAAGAAGAACAATAAATAGTAATCACAATCACTTTGAAGTCATTAGGCATCAGACATACGATTATGATTGCATATCTTCCGACTGTTAACCATGAGTATTCATTAGGAGTCTACCCTTGTGATCCTATATTCTCTACCTTCTTCTTAACACTAAACACCTTAGGATAGGTTACTACCCAGAATTCTAGCATTGTTTTCCTGAATTCAGTGCAACTAAACACTTTGAGACCTAATCAATTTGTATGTAGAACTACAATGCTGAATAACAGATAGAATAGGTTTTTATGAGCCCACTACAATGTTGGTTTCAAAACTAAATTGGTTTCTCGAGGGCTGACTGTTTGTGTTGTATTGTCTATGCAGATTTAGAAATGGCTTCTTCTTCTAATGACAACAGCAACATAAGATTAAAACCGAGAATGTGCAATTGTGGAAGAACAGCTGCCATACATATCGTAAAAACTAATGAGAATGGAAATAAAGGGCGTTTGTTCTTTGTTTGCCCATCAAAATATGTAAGTATTGTATTGGAAATATTAAATATGTAAGTAGTCACAATTTAATTTGTTTTAATAGACTAACTAATTGTTGGTTGCATTGTAGACTGAAAATCCCAATTGCAATTACTTCAAGTTCGTGGCTGAAGATGACGAAGATGTGACTTCCACAATCCGTTCCAACACTAGAGCTTCTGATGGTGTTACAGTAGAAGACTTTAACGAGCTGAGGAGGAGGCTGTATGACGTGGAAAATGAACATGGCGACTATGGTCGAAGGCTTCGAATGGTGGAAAATATTTTGAAGGCGATGGTGTATTTGATTGTATTTGCTTTACTTTTGTACTTTATGATGTAATGTTAGTATCCGAAAAATTTGACTAATGTTATTATGGATTTATGGATTTAAAGTTATTATGGATTTATGGATTTAAAGTTATTATGGATTTATGGATTTAAAGTTATTATGGATTTATGGATTTAAAGTTATTATGGATTTATGGATTTAAAGTTATTATGGATTTATGGATTTAAAGTTATTATGGATTTATGGATTTAAAGTTATTATGGATTTATGGATTTAAAGTTATTATGGATTTATGGATTTAAAGTTATTATGGATTTATGGATTTAAAGTTATTATGGATTTATGGATTTAAAGTTATTATGGATTTATGGATTTAAAGTTATTATGGATTTATGGATTTAAAGTTATTATGGATTTATGGATTTAAAGTTATTATGGATTTATGGATTTAAAGTTATTATGGATTTATGGATTTAAAGTTATTATGGATTTATGGATTTAAAGTTATTATGGATTTATGGATTTAAAGTTATTATGGATTTATGGATTTAAAGTTATTATGGATTTATGGATTTAAAGTTATTATGGATTTATGGATTTAAAGTTATTATGGATTTATGGATTTAAAGTTATTATGGATTTATGGATTTAAAGTTATTATGGATTTATGGATTTAAAGTTATTATGGATTTATGGATTTAAAGTTATTATGGATTTATGGATTTAAAGTTATTATGGATTTATGGATTTAAAGTTATTATGGATTTATGGATTTAAAGTTATTATGGATTTATGGATTTAAAGTTATTATGGATTTATGGATTTAAAGTTATTATGGATTTATGGATTTAAAGTTATTATGGATTTATGGATTTAAAGTTATTATGGATTTATGGATTTAAAGTTATTATGGATTTATGGATTTAAAGTTATTATGGATTTATGGATTTAA